ACTCTAAAACGTCCAAACACGTGTTATAAGTGTTACCGTTTGGTGAACACATAAAACTGTTACGTCTGTTGAACTGTAAAATATTATAGGATCAACAACACAAACAGATTTCACAATAGGAGCAAACAAATCACTATCGCTATTCGAAATTTGGAGGAAAGCCCGTCTTCTACTAGTCTGCTTGTAGATATTTTTGTACGAGCGACCAGAACGTCGTAATCAAAAGGACAGAGAAACATCTTAAATATGAAGAGTTTGGAAATCGAGATCAGTGGAATATGGGGCTTAAAAACACGCGTTACTGACGATTTGTTCTGCAAAATAATATACATAACTCTCAGGTCAATGAAAGGAAGTGGAGAGTATAAAACAGCCCATATTTTGCGCAGTGTTTTAGAGGCACCCTTATAGTGTTGCTTAGAGAATGCTTAGAAAGCTGGTTGCAACCTGCAGGATATTTATATTTAACTGATACCTACCATCTTTATTAGGTAATTACGGAACTCCAGCATCAATAATATTAATAATTATTATAATAATAATCTTAATAATAAAAATGATAAATATGATAATACTATCAATAATAATCCACTACACTATGCAAAACTTGTTTAGAACACTCTTAGAGGAAGCCCTTTATTGTAGGAACTCCATATTTTTGTACAGACAAATTATATCTTGAACAGGAATGCTTCGTCATTTCTTGAGAAATAGAGTAATAATAATATAAATATTAATAATATAATTATTATTATTAATAATAATATAATTATTAATATTATAAATAATAATAATAATAATAATAATAATAATAATAATAATAATAATAATAATAATAATAATAATAATACCACCACCTTGGCATTCCGGTGTCTCGTACCGCGTGACATGAATCCGCTCCCAAATCGGCACATCAGCATCTCGGTCGCTTTCTCGCGCGAACAAAAAGTAGAAATGCGACCGGCGTGGGGGCGGGGGTGGGAGTGGGAAAAAAGAACGGGGTCTGCGCGTGCGTCCCACCGGAAGGGCGACGCGCTCCTCCCGCGCATTCGAGTCACTGGCCTCCCGCGCGCTGCGCCGTCCCACGCGCGTAGCCCCCCTGCCGCTTCCATTGCGTCGCCCAGGAACCGAAGTGCCCCTTCGGTGCGCTCCCCGGAATGAAAATATAGCCCTCCTTGCTTCTGACAGTTTTTTCTTCTACGACATCCCCTGTTAGAGGCGCGTGAAGTAATCGCTCAACAACAAAAATCGGCAGGATAATCTAGGATAAAGTAGATGTTTATGAAAAGAGTGGAAACACATATTTAATTTGAGATTAGGAAATGTTGCTACGCAAGTCTCTATACACAGAGTGGTGTAATCCTACGATAACAATAAAATAACTTTTACTATTTGTCTTACACTGTTTTT